TCATTAAAGAATAGGTTTGAAATCATTCCAACTAGTAATTTATTTGTTAGATGTTATAAAAGATAATAGAATGCATCTGCCAGTTAAACTGGTTTTAATACATCTTCACAGTGGTACATTAAAAATGATTCATGTTTTGATAATGCCTTTAATTTTTCTCTCTTAAATATTCGTTTTTAATTCCTTATGTGCATTTTCTTGCCATCATTTTTTAAGAATGACTCCAAAAATATATGTTAAAAGCAGGGATTGTTGAACACTTTGTATTTCCATAATTACTTTAAATAGCTGGGCTTAAGCTTTATTTTAGTTCATAAAGACTGGTTGACATTGGCAAATCAAATTTTTCATAATTGAATGTTAAGAATTTTTTATGATAAAAATGTTGTAAAAATTCAAATTAATGAAAATTATGAATCTCTAAATGTTTTTTCTTTTATATTTATTTGCGAAAAAAGTAAAATAATCAGGTATGAAACTGACACTTGCTTAACCGTTTTGATATAAGCTTAATATCTTAAAACAATTGTTATTAAATACTTTTGATTAAGTTAATACTAAAAAGATTATTTTAAATTAAATATAAAAAAAAATATGTATTTTCAAATTATCAAATAAAATCTATCACTCATATGCTTAGTATGCTTTTTAAGTATGTCAGCAGTATTATCCATTTGTTTAGTTACCTGAAATTATTTAACTTGCACAATAATATTGCACTGAAATTATTTAACTTGCACAATAATATTAAAACAATGTGAATTAAACTTTATGTGCAAATATTTGTGCTTTATTTACATTGTTTTAGCTTTATTAACATCATAATCCTTTTATTTTAATAAAAAAAACTTTTTTTTTACCTTTTCAGTTTATGTTTAGTTTGCTGACATGTATACATTGTCTATAGAAAGTACTCTCCTTGCCCCAGAGTCTAAAGTCGCCTGCTGCTTTGGAAACAAGAAATAGCGCATTTCAAAGAGGAAAGCTTCTCTTTTCCCTAATTCCCTTTCTTTAAGCTATCTTAAATATTGACCCAACACCCCTACATGAAATAGTTAAATCTCACAACCTTAGTCTCCGCCAATACTCCAGGCGGATGGCGAGGGGAGTTCTTTCCATAGACTATTAGTAGATGTTGAGCAAGACTTGATAATCCTGTAATAATTTTTTAAAGTTATAGGTAGCGAATTCAAAATATAACAATTGTATGTCATCACAATTTAAATATTAAGTTTTTAGTAGTGTTACTGTTTGCTCTTTTATGGGGAGTTTAATGCAATTTAACAGATTTAAAAAATAAATAAATTAAAAGATAAATGTCATGTATTTATGTTAATAAAAACTGCGATTGTAAATAATTCAGTGTATAAAGTGTCATAAATAATTATTGTAAATACTTCTCTGTGTGCAAAAAAAAGCATTTGATTTGAATCTTATTCTGTTTAGCTTGCAATACAATTTAATAAAATGGTGGCAATGTTTGCTTTGAATTAAATTAAAAAAAGATGAAATTTTATTTATTTGCATGGAAAATACAATTGTAAATACTTTTCTGTACAAAATGTAATATAAAAATATTTGTATTTAATGATATTGTTTTCCTAATTTTTACAATTCCTTTTATGTTTTTCTGTTACAATTTGAAAATGAATAAATAAATGTTTGTTCACACATTTAAAATTGACTTTGTATCAATGTGTAAAATTTGTTAATGGTGTTATTTTATATAACGAGCTACCAGCTGGTTTACCATCATAGACTCACTGCTCTGCAGCTCCACATAATAGAAATTAATACTGTTACTTTTTTCACTTACTTTATATCAAAAAAAGAAAAAAAAAATCAGAGATTTTAATTAAAACAATTTATGTAAATCAGGGATGCACAACCATAGCTGCTATGCACAACCTATGACCCCAAAAGTGGCCTCCAAACTCTCGGAATATAAATGAAATATATAATATAAAAAGAAAAAGAGCAACAGAAAGCAGGGGTCTGTTTAGAAGAAATTTGGGTCCGTTAACGGACCCTTCACAAAACATTTTAACTTTAAAACGGACCCTTCACAAAATAATTTATCTTTTAATCGGACCCTTCACAAATTTGTTTATCTTCATTATTGTTTTGTTAATCGAATAAACCCTTCCCTGGTAGGGGTGAGGGAATAAAGGCAGATATAAACGAACTAAATTTTGTCTTCGGCATTCAGCAGTAAATTCTGCGTTCAGCAGTATAGGCTAAATACCAAATATTTGTATGTTGAATCGCTAATTTAGTAGTTGCATTTGCTGTTTATTTTTTAAAATTTAATTTTTTTAATTATAACTTTACAGTGTTGAGCATAATCTTGTATGTCTTTACAATTTAAAAACTCCTTGAAAAAGTTTTTTTGCAATAACGGACCCTATTTTCACAAAAGCGGACCCTGGTTGAACGAATGTGACTTAACGTTCATTTTATATTCACAAATTACGAGTAATTTTTTCACAATTTTACTGAAAACGGACCTTTCACAAAATGTCTGGACAGACCCCTGGAAAGTTACAGCCTTTCTTAAAGTATCAGAATGTGAGAATTTCAGTTTCATAATGAAAGCTACATTTATGCAATGAGTTCAGAGTTAGCAGTGAAATTTAATTATTTGAAAATTAACTGAATGGGAAGAAAAGAAAATTATGCAAGTCAATAAAATGAATAAAAAAATAATTTTTAAAATTCTAGGAATAGTCATCACATTAATCTGATCTGATATAGAAGCAAATTTTGTTTTCTGAATAATAGTGAAAGTTAACTTTTAGGTTGGATATAAATTTAAGTATCTTTTTTGTTGTATGCTAATGCTTATATAGATGTACCATAATTTGCTTTTGTTATCTAATATAGTTGTTTGAATTTATTCGTTATTTTTGTTATGAGCAGAAGAAGTAAAAAAACTTGTAACTCATGATCCACATAACTTTCAAACAAAATCTAATCACTTCTCGCATATTTATAATCAGCGTTTGTGATTTTTTTTAAAAAAATTAAAAAAAATCAGTTTTTTATTTTTATTCAAATGCACTGTAAGAATTTTGATTTATGATTAAAAAAACTTTATGAATGCTCAATCAAAATTATTAAAACTATATTATAACAATATTTTAAGAAGCTCTAACTACCTAAAACAATTTTTCATTATAACACATAGCTTTGAATGTATAGCAACCATTTTGAAACAAATGCAGCATTGAAATTTAAAGACTACATGAAATAAAGAATTTAAACCCTATTTTTGGCATATAAGGGTAATTTCTTTTTAGGATAACATCAAGCTTTAGCTTTAGATACACTATCCACCAATAAAATATAATGTAGATTTTAATTCCTAGCTTTTTCAATCAAAAAGTAGAAATTTAATTAATATTATTTGTATTTTTTTGTGAAAAAAATTCATATATTTATTAATTACTACAGCTATGCAAGTCTGAATTAAGACAGCATTAAATGTTAATCTGTACTTTCAATCTCAAGCATCAAAAGATTTTTAAAAATGTAATTTCAAATGTGTTGGAATTTAAGACACACCAAGAAAGAAAGTAATTTCGTTAACTAAAATTAATGAATGCAGCGATTTATTTAAAATAAATTTTAAAGCTAAGAAAAGAAAATAATAAAAGCATCAATAATTTAAAACACTTATTTAATTTTTTAAATCAAGATATAGTATTAAAAAAAATCAGTTGATTTCAATGATTTTTTTAAAAAAATCATTTGATTTAAATCAACAAACCCTGTTTATAATTACAGCATTATGTTGACCCCTGATTCTGTATTTGGTGTCCCACTGCTCAAAAATGGTTGAGCTTACCTGTCGTAAATAGTTAGCTAAAATAAACAACTTTAGGAATTATTTATATATAGTGTGGCTTTGAGGAGAACTCCTCCAGACTGAAAGTTTGCTGCTATGGTAAGAAGCGAGAGCACATTTCTAATGGGGGTGAAATGGAGGAAAGAAGGTGTCGATTGGTTTACTCACGACGACCTACGTTAAGATAAAGACAAAACTATTTACCACACACCCCTATTCGAAGTGACCTTTCCTCATAACCATAGTACATGCCACGACGCGAGACGGATGTCTGGAGGAGTTCTGAAAGCCGCACTATACATAATAAATTCTTTCTGCAATGAATATTTTCAATTTCTGAATAACTAAAGAGAGAGAGAGACAATGTTTTGCTGGATATAGACATAAAAATTCAGTGACTTATATTAAAAAAAAAAAGTTTTAGCCATATTGCATGCAAATAATTATTTGTGTGTTAATAATTTTACTTTTAAAAACATAAAAAAATGTTCTAGAATTTGAAATAACAGATATGTATAGATGGCTTGTTTATCTCCCTTGAGTTGGAACTTGTGAGTCTTGGAAGGGGGAGGGGATAAAATATAATAAATAAAATTTCATAACTAGTTTATTTGCAACATTTTAGTGAGCTGAAAATATCAACAAAACATATATGGCAAGAACTATTTTATTTTCAAGAAGGTACATTTTGATATTTATAACAAACCTATAACTTTTTCCATGAAATGCAATATAAATTGGAATTGAAGACAATAAACATTTCAATGTTTACAATAAAACTAGAGTTAATATACATATATATAGGGCCCGGGCTAAGCATTCGCCACTTTGCCAAATGTGATAAACCTGTAAATTCAGCGATATAAATTGTGTTTAGGGAATGATTTTTTCAACTAAAAAGATTAATATATATGCCTCTTGCTCCTGAAAATGACGTCAATATGAATTTTAATTAGAATTATATTAAGTCCAGTAATGTAAGTAACAAGAGATAATGTAAGTATTAAAAAAAACGTAAAATACAGATTAACATGTTACCACACCTTCTAACAACATTGCCGAATCACACGATATTACGTGGCAGAACTTTTTTTTTTGCCTTGCAATTTACGTCAATATGAATTTTAATTAGAATTATATTAAGTTCAGTAATGTAAGTAACAAGAGATAATGTAAGTATTAAAAAAAACGTAAAATACAGATTAACATGTTACCACACCTTCTAACAACATTGCCGAATCACACGATATTACGTGGCAGAACTTTTTTTTTTGCCTTGCAATTTACGTCAAAAGAGTAGATTTAAGTGGTAGCTAGATGTATATTATAACCCAACTATTCTTTTTAGAAAAAAAATGTGTTCTAACGACAATAACAGGTTGTTTATTAAAATAAACTTCTTGTAAAATTTAAAATGGTTGCAAAAATAAGAAAATTAAATTTTATTTTTATAGATTGCCACTTTCATATTATAGATATGGTATAACCACCTGCACTCGATATGGACTGCAAATGATAACATTAAACCCCACCCAACTTTCAATTTTAAAAAAATCAGAGAGTAGTGTAAAAATTAATAAACAGAATTAAATGCTTCACATAACTTATTTTTTACTGCAATCCTTCTTTTTTTCAGTGATTACAATTGACAGTAAAAATAAGCAAGACTGCAAAAATTGTTTTATTAAAAAATAAAAAGATTTAAAGAATGAGCAGTTTTATTTAAAATTAAATATATTTATTCAAAAGACACTGGGGATCTCAAAAAACATGAAATGTTACTTTAAAAAAATTATTGGGTGTATTTTTTTAGATTCATGCAAAAATTATTTATAAGTGCACTCTCAGCAAAAACATTTACAACATTAATAATGCAGGTATACCTACTACATTGATAAAGTTCTGTAGAGAACAAAGCAAACTTAGAAAAAAATTATCAATTCATATTACAAATATAAATAAAAGAATGGCCCTTTATTAAATTTTCATAAAAATTTGTTATTTGGTTCAATATTTTTTATAAATATAATTTAAAAAATTTTTCTCAATAATTTAGAAATTTTTACCCACAAAAAAAAATCGATTTCGTTATGTTATTGAATTGGAAAATAGCTCATAGCAAAAAAAATTCTGTACAATTTTACCAGGGGTTCAACCCTTTGAAGTTTAAAAGCTTTTAAAAAAATAAAAATTCAGCACTTTAATGACTTTTAGCATATCTCTTAGGGTTCACAATATCAAGATTTGACAGAATGTATAGAAACATATTATTACTTAAAAAATTGTACAAAGTGATAAATAATTGAATGAACAGATGAAGACCTTAATGCAATTATATAATCCAAAAAAAAAATAACATAAGTTGATAAGTTTGTTTATTAATTCGAATAGTGCTCAAGAAAATTTCAATTTTTTCTATAATTAATAAATACTTAAGCATATATTTTAGAGTTTTTAATTATTATTATCTAAAAATCATTTCAAAATATTTTTGCCAAATTTAGAAGTAAGTTTTAAGGTATATGAAATAAGTAATGAATGAAATGATACTGCAAAATTTCATAAGAAGCAAAACCTCATGTTTCAAGATCTGCATTAGAAAAATCTTCCATTGTATTTACAGAGTAGATAATGTTATGTGCAAGAAAAGAAATATCAGAAATAAATTTAGATGTATGCCAAAACATATTAAAAAAAATTTTAGAAATTGATGCAAAGCAAAATAATGAAACAGATATGTAGCAAACATGAAATTCTCTTTATGTCAATGTAATTTTTTTAATAAATGTATGCTACCTGATAATTTTGTAAAAACTAAACAGTTTTTTCCTGACTTTTTAAAAAATTTCTTATTGATTTAATACGTGTCTCAATTTTCTTCACCCGAAATTCTTTAAACTTTGAGGAAGTAGCATCATTAAACAATCTAGAAGAATTTGAATTTTTAACAGAGTTAATTTTTAAGTATTTAAATTTTTTAAACTTATACTTATCATAAACAATATCACATAATTGACACAAGTTCTTGTTTAACTTTTTACTCCTTTTGGAATTTACTTTTTTATACTTTGTTTTGCGTATATATTTTATTAAAGTTTGTGCATGTTCGTAATTTTTAAATTTCTTCTTTAAGCGTTTCAGAAATTTTACAAATTTCTTTTTTGAAACTTCCTCATATGTAGCAGGAGTACAATTCACTGATTTAGAATAAATTAAATAGGAATCAAAGTTTTGAACACTAAGTGGCAGCTTATGTAAAACAACAGAACATTGTTTTAATTTTTTATTTGCCATATTATCCTTTGCAAGAATCACATTTGATGCGGAACTGCCCTCAAAACTATCACGAAAAGAAATATTAGACACATTTGTGGAATCTTGTCTGAACGGATCAAGCTTATGTAAAACAACTGAACATTGCTCCTCATTTAGCACATTAATATCATTTTCCACAGAAATGTCTAATTCTGAACTTCTCTGAACAATATCATTAAAAGGCAAAGATAACTTTTCTAAGACAACTAAACATTGTTTATTTAACACATTAGCATGGTTTTCTGAAGAAATGTCTTTCTCAGAGCTTCGCTGAGAGCTTTGAACAATGGAAAAAGTTGGAGCATTTAAGGAATCTTGGCTTAGCTTATTTGAAACAACTGATTGCTTGCTCAATTTATTGGCATCATTTGCAAAAGTAAGTTTTTTACTTGAGTTCCCATCTGAATTCTGATTAGGAGCCAATGACAATATATGGATAGAATCTTGTGGTAGCTTATCAGACACAATTGATTTCTGTTTTAATGGATTATTCAACTTATTAATATCATTTGCATGAGCTAAATTTTGGTTAGGAACAAAAGTAGACAGATCTATCCAATCTTGGCTTAAATCTAGCTTGCGTAAAACAACTGAGCAAGGTTGTAATTTCTGAATGAAGCCATTTGTTGCATCTATCACAGGAAGGTCTATTCTTGAGATTTTCTCTAAAGTTTCATCAGGAATTAAAGTTGAATCACGGCTATGTGATGCTAGCTTACGTAAAACAACAGAGCCTGGCTGTAATTTTTTAGTGATATTATTTGTTGCATCAATTTTTTCCCTTACATTAGTTTTAGAATTTCGATTATAGATAGCTAAATCTGTAAGAACTTCTTTTTGACCACCAACAGATCTTTCGCCAACAGCAGTTACATTTATTTCAGAATTTTCACAGGGAATTGCTGTATCTGTAAGAACTTTTTTTTGACCACCAACAGATCTTTGGCCAACAGGAGTTACATTTATTTCAGAATTTTCAAAGGGAATTGCTGAAACTGTAAGAACTTTTTTTTGACCGCCAACAGTAAGATCGTTCCGACTATCAACAAATCCATTTCTTTCAGAATTCTCATAGGGAATTTCTGAATCAGTAAGAACTTCTTCCTGACCGTTAACATGCAGATTCGAATTTACTCCAGTTTCTTTCACAAAATAATCTGAAAAATGACTTAAAGTAGAATTTAATTTTTGTGAATCTAAAACATCATCCACCTCAAACTCAAGCTTCACTTTGACTAAACCAGAATCCTGCTCAACATTTCGAGATGAAGCAATAGAATTTTGATTATTCAATTCCAAATGTCCACTTACACGACAATCATTAATAACTTGGTCATTTACTTCAATGGGTTCCTCCTCTTGTTTGATTGTTTCACTATGATTAAAGATTTTTTGTAAGTTTAAAGTAAGACTATTGGGAGGACAGCAGATATGCTCATTGTGAATAAGATTTAACGTTTGTGAAGTTTTATTATTAATTTCGAGAGACACATTACTTTTAGTTCCTAGCACCACACAATTTCGAAAACCATCACAAGAATTTAAATCATTATTAGCTTTTACCTGTACTGAAGTGGCCAATTTTTGTAATGAGTCGTTATTATCGGAAGACAAACGAACAACACATGGACTATGTGAATATGTTGCTGTGTTAGCAAGAGAAATATCACGAGTAAATGAAGCAATTTCAGGAAGTAGATCGTTGTCACTAAGAACAGGAGTTTTTGAGCTATTTGAATTCCTTGCTGATTTTATCTGCTTTGAAACAGAAATATTAAATTCTGGGGCCCTGTTTCCTTTCTTCATTTTATCATGAAAATTACTTACTTTATCACCAAGAACAGGTGGAGTTTCTGAGTTGTTAGAGTTTAATGGAGACTTAATATTTTGAGAAATACAAATATTAGTCTTTGAGACTTTGTTTTTTGAAGTCTTCATTCCATCATTAAGAGAACTATCATTAGTACCTGATGTACATAACTTCTTTGATAATTTATCTCTTTCAATTTCAGAATTCATTGATTTTCTCCATCTGTTGAGTAGATAATCATTTGTTTTTAAATTATACGAATCTTCTGAAGACTTTGAGAAGTAAGTAGGAACGAAATTCTGAAAAAATTTATTCGGAGAATGTTGGACAACGTGATGAAACAATAATTGCATATCTCTTTCAGCGTAACCACATATTTGGCAACTAAAGTTGTGTTCATGTATATGTTGATGAATGGAAAAGTCTTTAAAATTCGAAAAATAAAGGTTACAAATAATGCATTTAATGTTCAGTTGAAGAAGATGTTCAAAGTAGTGCAAAATATGTTGATAATTATCTGGTAACACCAAGTCACAAATGTTACACTGATGAATACAAGGGTAAATTGATACAGTAGTAAATGATTTTGGTAAATGTTCTGACTTATGATTTTCAAAATGTGTTTCAGATAAAAATGTATCTTTGCATGTAACACAAAAAAATGGTAGAGCTCCGATATGAGAAAGTAAATGTTTTATGACATCGGTACTTTTAATAAAAAGATAACATAGAACACACATATGCTTATTTTCATATTTAAGCAAACATTTTAACTTTTCGCTTTTCTTATTATCAGTCATTTCTAGAAACTCCTTTCCTTCATATGAAAACAAGTTTTTTTTTCTCCTTGATAATTGTGATTAAATTAATAGGTCTATTATTGGAAATGGGTCGGTTTGAGCGCCTGCATAACATCGGACTAATCTCTAGGTTTATTATCAATAAATAAACTAAAACTGAAGATCAACTTTTAGGCTTGTGCGCTCAGTTTAGGCTTATAAACCTTTTTCAAAGTTTTACTTGGAGCTTTCATTGTTACAAACTAAAGGACCGTTCTTACTGCATAAGATTCACGCACCTCCGCTATTTAAAATCACCAATCAGGTTCTAATTCTTCCTCGATGATGACCGAAAATGCGTGAACTTCATCTAGTGAGAATGCCTCTGTTAATAAACGATTCACCTTGTCATTTGAGACATAACTCATTCAAAAAGTTATTTAATTGAGAGAAATTTTTTTAAATCGGTTTTCTAAGAAACATTTAGGGGGTTCAATTTCTTTTAAATCCTATCTTTGACGCGAGAACTAGTAGTTCATTTCCGCTGCATAATAGGCTATAAAAGACCATCTGGAAAACTTTTCTGAGGATCAACTAAATGCATAACATCACAATTTTGATCTACTGCAGAGGGGATGGCACGCCCGTTTTCGTCCCACGACGAAGTGCGTGAAGTCAAGTACATTGCAGTAGAAGAGTTTAAAGAGGACAAATACCGTTCACCCTCAGTCCCTACACAGGCGCTGATTTAAGTGACCACCCACTGATAGTCATGTTTGACTTTTCTTTTACTAGAAACAATCAAAAGAGAGAAGTTTCTTGCACACGCTGTAGGGTGATCCCTTGTTAAATTATTTTAAAAAGACCGAGGAAAATCAGGCCATTTTCTGATTTTCCGATAAACGATATTTTTAAAAGAATGGAATGCACAAAGAAAATATATAAAAAATGCTTTAAAATAGTAAGAAAATTTCTACAACTGTTTTAAAAGGCATTTATTTGATAAAATATTTCAACAAATTACAGTTGTAAATATCATTCACATAACTTTATATAAGTTCTTTCTTTTTTAAAATAAATAAATAAAATCAGTGCCTAAACTAAGAAATAAATAATTTAATTGTTTAACACATAAATATACAACTACAGTAGGTATAAACAATCTATACAGACTCTAATAAAAAATTATATATCAAAAGATTATATTTGTTTATTAGATATTCAGCATTTTAGAACATTTGCAGTCCCACAATTATAAGCAATTAATCATTATTGAACTTCGAGAAATAGATCATGTCATAGAAGGACATAAAAGTCTTACTTTTAATTTTTATATTTGACAAAAATGCATGTTTTGGAGGGGAAAAGATTAACAGAAAGTAAATGATTGTTGGAGAATACACAAATTGAAATTTTCTCATCAGTTGTAGTTGGTTTCATTTGTATATTTATAGATTTTCCTGAAAAATAGAAATTTGATAATTTTCTGTTGCTTCTGTCAATTAGTTAGAATGTTTGACCTCAATTTACTTTTAAATCATTTAACAACATCAGAAAAACTGTTACCTTTATAGAGAATGTGGGAAGGAACATTATTTTTCATTTGTTGAGAGTTTTAATCATTGTGCAAAGTATAGTAGTAAGAAAATTTTTAGCTTTATGAGATTATTATTGACTGAAAAGAGAGAGAGAGAAAGTTCTATTTGTGTGCTTAGGTAGAAAATGGCTTCTTACCATATTTTCATAACTATAACATCCATAGAGTGAAAATAAAGGTTTGACGTCAAATTAAAAATAAAACTATTAAAAATATGGTAATAAAAATATTAAAGAATTGAAAGGGCACAACTGGTCATTATTTTAAATCAAATTTACATGTTGTTTGCAAGATGGTTTTAAATTATTTATAACATGAGTAAATGACAATATATTAGAAAATTTAATCTTAATTTTATTCAATTTTTGTAAACTCATATTAATGACAGACAATTCTTAAGGAAAAACACAAAAATAAATAAATAAAATAAATATTGTAACATTTTCATTGGGCAAAAATAAAGGTTTGCCTCCAATTATATAATAAATAAATAAATAAAAGAAAAATAAAGTACAGAAAATAAGGAATTTTTCCCAAATTGATAAAAAAAAGTACCAGGAAATGAGATATTTATTTTTAAAAAAATCTAATAAATCTGCCCCTTTTATATTTTTGCATGCAGTATTAAAATATGTAGTAGTAGGCATCCATGCATTGTATACATCATCATAGGCCANCGATTACTTTTTTAGGACAAACCGGAATATCCCGAAATATGCTTAATAAAGTTAGCCCTGTTAGCCTTTCTTCTTTAGTAGCATTTCTTGTTGCTGTTTTTACGCGTTTAAGAGTAGAAAAAGTTCTTTCTGCAGTTGCTGTGGTGATTGGCAACGTAGCCAATATTGATAACAAGCAATAAATGTTTGGAAAAAAGCATGGGAATAAGATACTGTCACATTCTTCCATTGCTGAAAGTACGATATCTGATCTACTAAGGGGTTCACGTAGGTTCAACTTTGATACCCATACTTCCATTTCTCCCATGAGGTTTTCAATGTCAATGAAATCTGTGTAGATTCGGAAATTGCATAAATTAATATGCTGAAAAACAATTAATTTCGGGGGAAGAGTCTAACCGAAGGAAAGATGAGCCACAAGGTCAAGTGAAGATGATGCACTAGCGAAGGTGGTGTACTGGGAAAAGGTTTGATTTGACAGTTTTTGTTTCTCTTTTTACTGAGAGGCTCAAAGAAAGACTAAAAAGTTTGAATCCCAAAATTTCGGGNGGGGGGGGGGGGGGGGGGGTTGTCCCGACGGGCCCATCGTACACATCATCGTTGGCTAAAAATAAAGGTTTGCCTCCAATTATATAATAAATAAATGAAAGAAAAATAAAGTACAGAAAATAAGGAATTTTTCCCAAATTGATAAAAAAAAAGTACCAGGAAATGAGATATTTATTTTTAAAAAAATCTAATAAATCTGCCCCTTTTATATTTTTGCATGCAGTATTAAAATATGTAGTAGTAGGCATCCATGCATTGTATACATCATCATAGGCCAAAAATAAAGGTTTGTTTTCAATTTAAAAAAGAAAAAAATAAGGGATCATTTACAAATTGATAAAAAAAGAAAGAAAAGAGATTTTTACTTATTTATTATTTTAAAAGAAAATATGAAATTTGCTCTTTTTATATTTTTGTAGATAAAATAAAAATATGCAGTAGTTTTCATTCATACATTGCATTTATAAGTCCAAAGTCCTATTTACTGTGTATTGTATGACATTGACACTTTCCAGCATACATTACTGATGAGATGTACTAGGTAAAATGTGCCTCAGAGACTGAATGTCTGATTGTGTTAAGGGTTGGGCATCTTCATTTATGTGACAGATTGGAAAAGAAAATCCTTGATGGGATTTCTTCTTCTTCGGTCTAATGAATTCTTTTTGTGAAGAAATGATTGGAAGATAAACAGATGATGAATTCAAGCGGAGGTCTAAGGCAGAAGTCTCCTCAATTGCTCCCTGTAGGGATATAGATTTGTCTTCTGCCTTGTTTGTAGTCTCTTGTGAAGTTGTTGGGGAGACATAAACTGGAACAACTTGTAGATCATTGTCACGTGATGATGAACTCCACCTGAATAATAATTATAAAAAAAAAAACAATATTTATGTAGCAATAATATACAGTTGGACCTTTATTTAACGAAGTCACCAAATCCCGATAATAAATTCATTATACGGAAAATTCGTTAAATAGAAAATCATCTTTTAAAATACTTAAACACAAAACAGGTTTTAAATTCATAAACACTAGACATAGTTAAAATAGCGATTTATACACCTTTATCTTGTAAACTAGAATCTACTATCTATTTTTTAAATCTTAACCATAAAAGAAATCTACATGAAAAGTAAGAATGGAGCAAAACATTATCTAGTGTTACACTATCATGTTACAAACATTTTCAACTAAAAAAGCTAAATTGATGTACAAAATTATAGCTGCATTTATTATAAGAGTAATTTTAAACGTACTTTACCACATGCGTTCTTAAGTTTAATTGCTACTGATAAAATTTGTTAATTTTGTCTGAGTTTTTCGTTTGAAATGCAAAGAAAAAGGGAAATGGATTTTACTGCTTTCCCATAAAGTTAAGTAGCTACGAAAAACAATTCAAGGTCATTTCCCCCATAAAAAGCATTAGCAAGTTTAAAATGTTCAGAAATATTTTGGGAATAGGAAAAGTGGATCTCAAAGAAAAATTTGTTAAATGGAAAATTCACTTCCTTGTTTGGAAGTTATTTCAAGAAGAAATTTCCAAAATTGAAGTACGTTAAATAGAAGTCTGACTGTATTTACATAATATATTTAGATAGCAAATACAGAGCTGTTTGAGCAGAATTAAAAGCAGGGCAGTTCAGAGTCAAAATTGACTCTGGCTAGTTAAAAATTAGATCATATAGGTTAAACAAAGTCTCAGATCTTATGATAATTATTTAGGCAAACACTTATAATTAAGTGTGAAATTAAAATCTATTAATTTAATAAATAGTCATAATATCAATTATTTCTTAGCATACAGTGAAATTTTTAATAGAGCAATATTTGGAGTCTGTGTTGCAATCAGGCTCTCAGAAAATTCTGGTGTCAAACACTTCAAAACTCACCTCCACAACCTTAATTAAAAGTTGTCAACAGATTAAAGATATCAAAATAAATACAAAAAATAATTATTTTTAATAATAATTTATTTTAAATTATTATTAACATTAAATTATTATTAAAATATTATTATAAATTATTATTAATAATAATTTTTCCTTAATTAATTTTTCAAATTATTCCAAAAAGGTTCAATTCAGTAAACATTCTAATCATGTTTTTGATTGTCTTTTTAAAAAGTTATGTAATTAAATTTCTGCTAATTTACATTCTGCTTAATAATACATTCAGCTTCTATTTAAGAACTACATATTTTTAGATGTTTTTAGCTTTTCTATTGCACAAAAGTTTATATTTAAGGACGACAGTGTCTTTGCTTACCTATGAAATTTTCTACAAGAAAATTTATTGTTAACTTACTTCTTTTAACTGGATTATTTTTAAAAGGTCATCACTGGATTAAAAAACTTGATTGTTGCGTTTTTATCAGTTAATTATCCAACTGACACAATCAATGCTTTTATAATTATTTTTTTAAATCCAGTCATGTATTTTTTTAAATTTTACTTTTGAAATAATGTTTGTGGTTTGATACTTAAGCAAAATTTTTAATTGCAGAATGAAATTTAACAATTCCTGAACTCCAAAAGGTAAATTTGGTGACAAGTTTCACAAAGAGAAGTGGTCAGACACTGAATTTCTTGAGTATATTATGGTACCATCTAAGTAATCAGAACTCCAGATTTATGGGAAAGAATCAAACTTATTTACAGTCTTTACAGCTATGAATAAAATTTTTGTATCAAAACTGATCCTATTTTCCTGATTAATTTTAACCTATTTTTGAATTAAAATTAACTCTATAACCAGGATTCATTTTGACCTATTTTTGAATTAAAATTAACTCTATAACCAGGATTCATTTTGACCTATTTTCGAATTAAAATCGATTTTAAAACGAAAACTACTGTATTTGATATTAGATTTTCTAATTTCCATCAGAATAAGACTTACATTCTTGGTAAATATCGAAAAATTTCCATCTTAATTGCAGCGCTCAGAAATAAAAGAGAAGTTTTCAAGTGTTCTTAGGAGAGAGAAAATCAAACATCTTGAAAATCTTTTATTAATTGATTTTAAATATGCATCAGTAGAAAGGCATTAGAAAATAGGCAAGCATGTGAAATGGTATTCATCATTTTTATATTGTTAATAATGTTTTGCAATACAGTTATGTTTAGTATATAAGTATAATCTTTTTTAGTCTGTTTCAGACAGTAAAAAAGGATAAAAATAAATTGATTGTACTCTAATTAATAATTCAGATTTTAAAAATAACAACATGTTAAAAATTATAATAGATTTCTTTTCCTAACTATCCAATTGACTTTTAGCCCATAAAGTTTCTAGAATAGATTGATGTAGATAAAAGACCTTTACTTGATCATATTCTTTAAACATTAAATTATGTCATGATGATTTTTTTTTTTACTTACTCCATACCACACACTGAGAAAGTAAGTCTAAAGGGAATAAAGCCACAAAAATTTTAACTAATTTGGCAATTCCTGGAAATTGGAGTAATGGTGGAAATTCTATATTTAATATTAAAATTATTCTGATATAGTACCCTAAAAATAATAAAGATTTTTTTCTGACCATAAATACCATGCAAGCTAAACTTTATATGGTTAACCAAGATCATACTATCTTGCATAACATATAAAACATTTATTACAATTGCACCATAATAACCTATCAGGAAAAATGCAAAAAAATAGAAGGTAACAGTTAGCACCTATAACAAATAGAAACTTTAAGAAAATTAAACTTTTAATATTGCTGGAAATAAGAAATTCCAAAGGCAAGGATATCTCACTGTAAAACAGGGTGCATAGCCAAATCCTTCAACAAAAAATAAGCATCTTTTAATTACTTTATAAGCACTCAAAAAATATTTTTAAGCATTATATACATTAACAAAATGCAAATTAATTTTCAAAGACTTGCCATGATCAAGATAAAACAAATAGTTTCTGGCAAAAGAACTCTTTTCTTGATTATATTAGTTATCATAAAAAGATCGAGAGATTTTTTGGTTTGATTTCAGAGGGTGGAAAATGAAGCCTGAAATTGAGAATATCTTGCAAAATGTAGCAGAGTTGCACATGTGAGTGCTAGAATCTCACCATACTCAGCTCAGTAGACCCACATGCGGACTCGCAAGTATTTAATCAAACATGTAAAATGATTGGCATTTTCAAATGCTATGTAGAGACAGTAGGTTGAAATGGATTGTGAAAACTTTGAATAGAACAATGTGAAAAGCACGCTTTTGCATAATACGTGGCAAAAATTGACAGCGTAAAGAAATAAATCTCATTTTCGAAAAGGGAAAATTAAGCACTTTTTAAATACACCCCATAAAAAAGCACCTTTAAGGGCTTTTAAAAAACGCTAATCAAAACTAAGCACCTTTAAGCACTTTTTAAAAAATGCTACGCACCATGTATAAGGAAAAAATAATAATAATAGTACCTTGTAGCTGCAATACAACTCAGCGCATCCAACACTTGTTCAGCTGTCATTCGTTGAGTTGGATTTGCATTCAATAAATTACGGATAATCATATTAGAGCTTTCAGAGACTCTACCATCTGATCTGTAAAATAAAGAATCAATATATATAGGTTATTTTCTCAATTCATTAACTTTTGCATCTTTAAGCAATATTTTTCATTAAAATATTTATTTTCATAATTTAATGATATGTTTTGCTTGAAATACTGACAAAGAGTAAAAATATATTTAAAATATAAAAAGTTAGGAGTTTTTTAAATACCAAGTAAAATGTAGATAAATTGTCATTTCTGTCATATGTCCCCAATACACATTTATGAATTTTCTAAATAACTTACTATATTATAATATTACAGAGACTCTACACGTTCTAAAATAATATGACTGTCTACTTGAATATGCATCAACAATATTTTTCGAATAGTTTGTATATTTTGTTCAAGAAAATCACTTTGAATGCGTTTCCAACTTTTGAGCAATTACTTCCCAAATGTGAAAAGTGCCAATAAAACACTATAGACGGGTCTAGTTGAATAAAATATAACTTCTAGCTTACAAAGAACACCACTCTCTACAGAACAGTTTAATTGTTGTAATGACTTAATTGTTGCTAAGTTTAATTTTAAATACTGATTCTCTCCAGGTTAATAAACTTAATTTAATCTCAAATCCATGTGAGACTTTATTGAATGTAATTACTGTTCCCCTAATTTTCTTCTAAGGAACTGCTAACTAGTAAACAATTTTTGATATGCACAAAATGTAGTAACTTACTTCAATAAAATATGGCTAGTTTATTAGAGAAATTAAATAGATTTTCATCTATTCAGCAAAAGCTATTGTTTTGTAACTACTTGTCCCTTCCTAAAATGCACTTAAAGGGGACAATAATTAACTAAGGGATTATAATTACTATCGAAATTTTTTTAATGTGTTTGATTATGTTATAACATGTTTAGTACGTTTTTTTTGACAGATTTCAACAATAATAAAAAACAAACATTTTTGTTTTACAATAACTTAGTTAGTAAACATAAAAACACTAAATTTTGAAACTTAAGAGCAAATTTATCATTGCTATTAATAATAATAATATAAAGTTTAAATAATATACTTAAAGTGTTTAGATAGTTAATACATTCTGTTATATGTTCCAACGATAGTTTGATTTCGAAAATCAAAATATTAACTTTGTATAGTTAAAAGGAATAGCTAAAAAAAATTATTTTGAAATCTGTCCGTTTTTTTTATTTGCTTATTTTTTAAATTTTAAATTATAAGTTTACTAGCCATTTTTGTGTCTTATTTTTACTTTTATTAAAAATTGATTAGTTCAGTACATTTTCACAATTCTTTTAATCTTTTGCACTCCACTGAGTCCTATATAATGACATCAAAAGTTAGCATTAAAAAATTTTTAATTTAAAATCATTGTATTTTTAATATTTTGTTGCCACAATATTTTATGATTATCAGTTTTTATATAATAATATTGGATCACATGTTTCAAACTAATTAGTGCTTAGATTAATTTAAATCATATTTCAAAATAGTTGGAGTGTAAAAGGTTAAGCTATAATTTAATTTTATCAACAATAATTTTGAAAATTAGATTTTTTAAAAATCAGTTTCGATTTAAAAACTCATGAGTATAAATAAGAATTTGGTTATTTAAAAAAAAAATCATTACGTAGTATACAAATTTGCAACTTCAGTTTCAATTACTTAATGACATTTTTACTAATTTTAAAGTAATTGTAATAAAGGTGATAGAAAGAAGATCAAGATTAAAACTTATACCCCAGAAAAAAGTTTGGTAACATTTTATTGCACTGTTTGTATGAGAAATTTTATTGGTTGTATGCACAACATAAACAAAAATTAAATGATGTCACTTAAAAAACTCCACTAAGGCTGATTTAAACCCTTTTCCAAACCATAAACAATTTAGATGAAATACTTTAAAATATAAAACAAACAATATCTATTATGCTTTTAAATTATTATTTTAAAGCAAATGGTGTAGTTAAGAAAAACAAATAAATACTGAAATTTTTTTTAAAAAAAAGGTGTTTTTGCACTTCATTGTCATTAATCTCCTTCTTTGTAATTACTACCCACAAAACGTATAAACACATTTTATAATAACAAACAAGAGTTTGAGTTCTAGTTTATTAAGTGTTTGCTTACAAAATGTGGTCTTACGAGGTAATAAAAAATATATAAGTTATACAGACATGTTTTTATTATGAAAAGGTAAAATGTTTTATGAAAATTCTTAATGTTTCTTCAAAATTCTTGATCTAATCTATTTTTTTAAAAAAACATTAATTAAATTTCAAACTAAATATTATTTGAATGTTTTCCTTTATTTACTTATTAATTATTGCTACATAGAAAAAAGTTTATTATTTTCTTCCAAGTGTTGCTTCAGTGAAAGAAAAGTAATTACTTTTTTCCAATATGTTGGGAAAAGTGGTGGGCAATGGAAAAAAAAGAATTCCCCCAAACAATTCAAAATGTTTTGAAAGTTAGAAAGAAGGTATTCTAGTATAACAATATAAAATCATTAAAAATTATTTAAAAAAATTTTAAAATAATTGTAAAAAAATATTAAAATAAAATTGTATGTTTACAGAGCAGCACTTCATCAGGGGACACACTGTCTGCAAACACACAGGAGCCTTTCTGTTGTTAGTGGCAAAGCCAAAACTAACAGTGCCCCGAGGCCCCTAATGATATTACAAGCATAAAGAATAATAATTACCACATATTGCTTGTATTATTCTTTATGCTTGTATTATCATTAGGGGCCTCGGGGCACTGTTAGTTTTGGCTTTGCCACTAACAACAGAAAGGCTCCTGTGTGTTTGCAGACAGTGTGTCCCCTGATGAAGTGCTGCTCTGTAAACACACAATTTTATTTTAATATTTTTTTACAATTATTTCAAAATTTTTTTAAATAATTTTATATTGTTATACTAGTTTATATAATCTGAATTTGGTTTTAGCTGCCTTGTGCGCTGTTCCAATTTGAATTAGTGTAGTATTGGTTAAAATATTTTTCCTACCTCCTGTTTAATAATATTGACTTAAATATTTGAATTTATATTTGAAAGAAGGTATTCTCTCATAGTTTAACATTTAATTTAATATAAAATTACAAAAATAGAGCAATAAATAAGTTATTTCAATCTATAAAACACTATTCTAATTTTTTCTTATATACATACTGTCAAAAAATTAAAATAAAAAACCATTTTGCAATCGTTCTTTTTAAGTAACGAAAATAAAGTTTTTTTTCTTTCTAAAATTGGGTTTTACGTTGTTCGAGCTAAAGTTAGTTTTAAATAACACAAACATAAAGACACAATTAAAAAATCTTAATCCAAAGTAAACTTTCATTAAACAAATATTTTTTTATTTTATTTAAACAGAATGGTCAGACATAGTTGATGTCATTTACTTGACTAGATAGAATTACATATAAAATTGAGTATAAATATAATAAAAATTCAAACTGGTTTGAATTTTTTTTAAATGGTTGTTTTTTAGTAACCACTGCAATGCAATACATTAAGCAACCAGCGCACCAATTTCAAATAAATATTTGAAGTAGTATAAAAATTGATAAAATGCAATAGGAAACAAACTGATAAGTAGGATTTATTTTTAAAAAATGAATAACTTCTATACATAGCACTTACCCTGGAATGGTAAATTCCACAGATTTTATTTTTCTGAACAATTCTTGAGGAACTGAGTCGTAAAATGGAAATATTCCATACAACATAGTAAAGAGGACGACTCCCAGAGCCCACATATCACTGGGTTTTCCAAGGTAAGGCTTACCTAGAGTACACAAAAAACCATAAATATCATGCATTTTATGTAACATTTTAAGTACTACTTTCTTTGTTTAAAATTATTGTATCCAAATAACATGTTAAAACCATAAGTTAAGATCAAAGTCCCAGTGATCTGTGGACTCCCAGAGCCCACATATCACTGGGTTTTCCAAGGTAAGGCTTACCTAGAGTACACAAAAAACCATAAATATCATGCATTTTATGTAACATTTTAAGTACTACTTTCTTTGTTTAAAATTATTGTATCCAAATAACATGTTAAAACCATAAGTTAAGATCAAAGTCCCAGTGATCTGTGGACTCCCAGAGCCCACATATCACTGGGTTTTCCAAGGTAAGGCTTACCTAGAGTACACAAAAAACCATAAATATCATACATTTTATGTAACATTTTAAGTCCTACTTTCTTTGTTTAAAATTATTGTATCCAAATAACATGTTAAAACCATAAGTTAAGATCAAAACTCTAGAATTGTAAGAATAATGCACATGTTAAATGGAATTTTGATTACATTCAAACTCTGTTTAAAAAAAAAGTTTATAGTCTCAGGGCAAGTACCAGACAAACCAATATTCCTCAGATATTTCCAAAGTAAAATTTGAAGAGTTTCACAGACTTCTAATATTTAAATTAGTATATTTTCAATAGTAATTTCGAAAAATTACATATATATACTACTAAAATTTTATGTATAAATGCAGGATTTTTTTTCAAAACTAAAATTGTTACTTTTCAAAATCTAAAATTATTTCTTATTTCATATTATAATTTTTTTTCCATTTAACAAATCTATTATTAATTATATTAAAAGCTCAAGAAATGATTTAATTTTCAAAAATGTTGTTAATCTTAATGTTAGAAATTTAATTTTAGTAAAAGAAATGCTTGCTAAATGGAGCTATTTATTAAAATAGGATGGGAATATCAATACAATAAAATAAAGTACGTATAATAGAATAAAATAAATAGAGTATTATAGGAATACGAAAAATTAATGATAGCACCACTAACTATTTTTTCTAAGATATGACTGGTTAAATAAAAAAATATATTTTGCCTGACAATAGAATAAAACTCATTCACAGTAAAACAATGAACAAACATTATACTACAAGAATTTTCAGGGTGTTAGTGAGCTTTCCAGAAAACTCCAGTTTTTCCATTGTTATTTATAAATTCCCTGACAATTCCATGTTCTCCCTGTTTCCAGAAAGAATGATCAAACTCAGTTTTAACCATATAACATCAATGTGATCTGTTAATTCTTAGGTTCAAGCAATTTTCAATGAAAAATGAGTTTCTCAAAAAATCTATGTAGAGTAATCTCTATCAATCAGATCAAATGTTCTGCTTGAATGGAAACAAAGAACTCTATGGTCTTCTTATTTCGAGAAAGAATGATCACCCTGGCTTATATTTAACTATAGAATATCAATGTGATTTGTCAATTCTTAAATTAAGACAATTTTCAATGAAAAATAAGTTTTCAAAAAATCTATGTAGAGTAGAAGCTGGATCGATCAGATCAAATGTTCTGTTTGAATGGAAACAAAGAGAATTCTATGTTCTTCTTATTTCCAGAAAGAATATTTAACCACAGAACATTAATGTGATTTGTCAATTCATAAATTTAACAATTTCCAATGAAAAATGAGTTTTTAAAAATCTATATACAGTAAAATCTATATACAGAAGAATTTTGATTGAGCATCAGGAAGACGATACTGGAGTCAAGAAAAAATATCAAAGAATGACTTGAAAATGCATGAAAAGTAATAAAGAAATTAAAAATTATTAAATTTACTAATTTAATTCACTAATTTAAATTCACTAATTTAAAAATTTTTTACTTACTGCAAAAAGAAAAGAAAAATGAACACACTTATTTAAAAAAAAGATTTAGAGATATAAAAGAGGAATAAACACATTTGTGACACTGGGTCACCAATTTTTTTTAAATGTACAATTAGTAAACGCTCCATCGCTCATGTTCTCACATTCTAGGAATTTCCAGTATTCATCCATGCTTAACTTGTCGACTTCAGCATTTGAAAAGTCAGAAGATTTAGGGTATAGTTAAAACACGCTTCACTTTTGGAGCTTTAAATTTAAAAGGCTCGCTACAAATCACATGGTGCAGAAATAATTCTACTGGTAACATAAATTTGAAGGCAAGTAGTATTGAAACCAAGATATTCCCCACAAAGATTTATTCATTCATTTTACCTAGACTAAGATGTTTTAAGTCAAACTTTTAAATTTCACCCCGTTTTTCTTTCTTGGCTCTTAAGTCAAGGGCTCGCAATATGACTCAAAATCAAAACTGATGTATAAGGCATTTTTCCCTAACTGTAACAATTCCTAATTATTTTCTTCAAGATTAGCATCAAGAGCTACTGTTTTTCTTCTCAAAAATGAAATAACTTCAAAATTTTTTTTTTTAATGGCCATAAAATTTCTGAATGATAGACAAAGGAATCTGCTAGTTTCAAAAACAATATAAGGATGCGTAGCCAGATTTTTAAACAAAAAATAAGCACCTTTTAAGTACTTTTTTAAGCACTCAAAGATATTTTTAAACACTTTCCAAAAAAAAAAATTATAATTAGGATCTGTGCTGGAATAAAAAAATTTTTTTGACTCTTGTTAATAGCTCTTAATTTATAAACATAAAATAAATAAAATTCAAAAACATTTTCAAAAACTTTACATAATCATGATAAAATAAGTATTTTTTGATAAATACTACAACGAAAATTGCGAAAAATCACGCATTTTTTGTAATTTAAAAACGACAATCGACACGNTTTCTCTTGTTTAAAGTTCTTAATTAATAAACATAAAATCAATAAATTTCAAAAACATTTTCAAAAACTTTACATAATCATGATAAAATAAGTATTTTTTGATAAATATTACAACGAAAATTGTGAAAATTCTTCATGAATTTTTTGTAATTTAGAATGACAATCGACACGGCAAAGAAAAAAAGTCTACTTTTAAAAGATAGAAAATTAAGCACTTTATTCAGACCACAAATAAAAAAAGCACTTTACAGGGCTTTTAAAAAACGTAAATCAAATATAAGCACTTTCTAGAAACGTTACACACCCTAATGTTTTAGACAGGCGGTTGCATACGCTATGGACTGACGATAGGCCGAAATGGATTGTGGTTGAATGAATTGTAAAAACGTTGCATAGAACTATGTGAAAAGCATCCTTTTGCATAATACGTGGTGAAAATTGGCATGGTAAAGAAAAAAAATCTCATTTTCGAAAATGGAAAAATAAGCACGTTTTAAAAATATCAATGAAAAAAAAGAAAACTTTAAGGGCTTCTAAAAAACGAAAATAAGCACCTTTAAGCACTTTTTAAAAACGCTACGCACCATGAATATAAACAGGTATTATTAACATTATACCAATAGCATTTTTAGAAACGTCCCTAAAAAGGGTCATTATGTTTAAAGGGACAATTACTCACCACTTAAAACATCTGGACTAATGTATGCAGGGCTCCCTCTCTGATCCTTCAGTAGATCATTTTCATTCATCAAATGTTTACCCAGGCAGAAATTTGTTAGAGTCACTTTTCTCGTGTGCTGATTGAGAACTATGTTTCCTAATTTTAAATCTCGATGAACCACATTCTCCTAAGAAACATAAAGTTTGAATTCAATTAATGAATAAAATGAGCTCGCAAAAACATTAAAAACTTGAGATAATAATTTAATAATTGATTGTAAAGCTAGATAATGAGGATTAAGAACAAATAAAGCCACGAAAACAAATGTAGTTTCAGTTCTATAATCAAGAGCCTTCCTTAGTGTCAAAGCACAAATTGAAACAGAATGCTTAGGTTCAGTTGTTTTTGCAGCTTCACTCAGATTGTCTAGCTTTATTTTCATGCATACAATAAAGTATACTCATTGATTGTTTAGAAAAATTGATTGCTAAAAAAAATAATCTCAAATAATTTTTTAAAATTTTAGAAGGCTACTTAATTAGCAAGTCAAGAATTTATAGTTTAAGTTAATTAAAATATAATTAAGTTAAGTTAATTAAAATAAAGTAAAGTTAATTAAAATATAACTTTAAAGATAGAGAACTTTTGGAAAATTTCCTTTCCGTAAGACATGATATCTGGAAAAGAAGGAGGGAAAAAAAAGAATTTTCTCAAAATTTTATTTTTGATGTTGGCAGATTTGATTTCTCAAAAACTTTTAAACCAATTTTATTAAAATTTACACACTTTAAAAGAAAACAAAAGGGATATATCAAAATTGTAATAAGAAAAGAAGGTTTAGAAAAGCAAATAACAAATATAATAAACTAAAATATAAAGATTTTTTAAATAAAGTATAAGTTAAATTAAGTGTATTGAGTGCATTTAAAACTATTCCAATATATAGTTTTTTTTGTTGTTGTTGCATTTTATGGTAAAATAAATAATTTCAACAGTGCAACTTCTTAAAAAATAACAGAATTAAATACTATGCTTTTCACAGTAGAGACAATGCAATAAAAATAACAGACAACACATTTGCTGCTTAAGCTACCACTTAAAAACCTGAAAACTAACTTTTATTTCTATTTAATATTATAGCTATCTCTCATAATTTCCACAAAAAAAATGATTAACATTAAAAAGTACTTAATACATATCATTGCATTGATTGCAAAAAATAACTTGGTTGTTTTAAATCAAATTTAAATAGAAAGTTAATATTTCTAGGTGGGAACACTTAAAATAATAACTCCACGCAAAAGTAGAAATAACTATGGAGGGGGAAGAAGAAAAAAAACCAATCATTTTTTAAGAAAAGTTAGGATTCGTTTTTCATATTACAACTATTATTGTTATTTTCTCAGTCAGGAATTCAGTATTTTATCACTAATGATTTATTATTATAATTACTAATTATCATTAAAAATAAGTAATAGTCCCCTGGACTACTACTAATTATTTTTGGTTTCATGTTCATTATTGTTACAAAATAGCATATTTTGTTATAACTGTGACATACACACCTCTGTATGTATTTTTTTAAAAAAATAAATTCACTTTATTAAGTTCTTAAAAAAAAAAATCTAACGGAGAGATGTAAACAGACAGTGAATAAATTTTTTAAATTTCTATCCCTGATAATAGACAACATTTGGAACAATATGCCCCTGCCTTAGCCAGGTTCTGAATAGAAATACTCCAGCTATATAATAGTATAATCTGTAGAAATCTATTAATTGCATAATAAATAAAATGAATCATGGGAAAAGTTATAAAATGTCAAATTAAACAAGTCAACAATTTACCTTATGCAATGATGATACAATATTTACAATATCATAAAATAGGAACACAGCTTCTTTTTCAGAAAGTTTCTTTTCACTGATCACATAATGTTGTAGGTTGATTATACGAGAGTTTCGAGGGTTAAACTCATGTCGTGACAAACAATCAAGCACCAAACATACTCTCTGCCTTCTTCTCACAGAATTCCTTAAATTCATCTTTTTATCACTGGGCTCGAAATATTCATCCTAGAAATAAACATTCAGAATTACTCACACTGAAATTCAAAAGAGAAATAATTTATCATTTTAATGCTTCTAAAATAGGGGTGCACAACCTGCGGCCCAAATGCGGCCCTTCGACTACTGAAGTGCGGCCACTGAAGTGCGGCCCGCGAGAGCTTCTAAACACAATAAAAAAATTTTAAAAAATGACAATTTTTAATGGCACTTTTAAGTCATCACGTTTTGACACAATCAATTTTAACAGATTCTTTAGTAAATGTACGTTTAACGCGCTTTCTTTAAGCCGATTTTATAGTAAATATAAATGATTTTTTTAAACAGTTATTTCCGCTTTTCTACGTGATTTAGAAAATCCCGAATTTTCATTACGACGCGAGTTTCAGATCGCAAATTTAAATAATCACTTTTCTTGCACTTTATTTGTGACGATTTTACCTTAAATCTAAGTGATTTTTTATCTTTTTTTTGCAATTCCATCTCTTTTTTTCAACAATTTTTTTTGGCAGTTATTGCTATGCGTTCCCACGTATTATAAAAAATTCCAATTATTCTATTACGACATGCAAATTTTAAATCATGCATTTGACACGCTTTATTCGTGCTGAGTTCAGCATAAATATATATTTTCCCACTTATTTCTATGTTTTTCCACATGATTTTGACTATCCCGTTATTTAACTATGATGTTATTACGACNCCAATTTTATTAAAATTTACACACTTTAAAAGAAAACAAAAGGGATATATCAAAATTGTAATAAGAAAAGAAGGTTTAGAAAAGCAAATAACAAATATAATAAACTAAAATATAAAGATTTTTTAAATAAAGTATAAGTTAAATTAAGTGTATTGAGTGCATTTAAAACTATTCCAATATATAGTTTTTTTTGTTGTTGTTGCATTTTATGGTAAAATAAATAATTTCAACAGTGCAACTTCTTAAAAAATAACAGAATTAAATACTATGCTTTTCACAGTAGAGACAATGCAATAAAAATAACAGACAACACATTTGCTGCTTAAGCTACCACTTAAAAACCTGAAAACTAACTTTTATTTCTATTTAATATTATAGCTATCTCTCATAATTTCCACAAAAAAAATGATTAACATTAAAAAGTACTTAATACATATCATTGCATTGATTGCAAAAAATAACTTGGTTGTTTTAAATCAAATTTAAATAGAAAGTTAATATTTCTAGGTGGGAACACTTAAAATAATAACTCCACGCAAAAGTAGAAATAACTATGGAGGGGGAAGAAGAAAAAAAACCAATCATTTTTTAAGAAAAGTTAGGATTCGTTTTTCATATTACAACTATTATTGTTATTTTCTCAGTCAGGAATTCAGTATTTTATCACTAATGATTTATTATTATAATTACTAATTATCATTAAAAATAAGTAATAGTCCCCTGGACTACTACTAATTATTTTTGGTTTCATGTTCATTATTGTTACAAAATAGCATATTTTGTTATAACTGTGACATACACACCTCTGTATGTATTTTTTTTAAAAAAAATCTAACGGAGAGATGTAAACAGACAGTGAATAAATTTTTTAAATTTCTATCCCTGATAATAGACAACATTTGGTACAATTTTCTGTTCCTATGTCTTTAAAAAGCAATTGCCTACGTAAAATTATAATTTGATTTACCCTCCTAGGTTGGAGTTTTTAATTGCACTAAAAAATATTGTAAGAGCGGTAAGAAATTCAATATGAGTACCCTCTTGGATAGATTTTTGGAACATGAATTTATTTAACACGTTCGCTACCACCGATGCACTAGCGAGCCAGAGCGGCACCTCCTGGTATGCCGACGACGCGCTAGCGCGTCAATCACTATGATAAGTTATATGCTCTGTGTTTAGGGTGGCTTTGGGAGTTGAACGAAGAGGTTGATTCGGCATGTTAGTGAAGCATTATTTTTTTATTTTTTGTGGTTGGTTTTCAAAACTTTTGTTTGAATTTTTTTATGTGCGTGACTGCCAATATCTGTATATTCTGCTTATTATTTGTAAATATTTTCAATATTGTTTCATAAATGGTACTACATATACTTGAATGGTATTCCGTTTTATTCCTTCTAAGCTGCTATTTTATGCAATAAAACCAGTAATTTCTGAAAATATTGATCAGACGCGCTGGAGCGTCAGTGGCACTCACGAAGACAGGTTTAGTCTGTGTGCCACTGACACTCCAGAGCGTCAGGAAAAAAACGCTCTCTAAACAGGAAAATAATATGTTTCTTCGTTTTTCTGGTCTTTCCAGTAAAATATAAGGAACATTTAAACCATTAAAACCCTGTTTTGTAATCCTGCTTCTGAGGATGGAACTATCATTTTTAGTGGCAGCGAATGTGTTAAATTTACTGGATTTTTTATCGAAACCAAAATGTGAAGAAATACGCCACAAAAATAGTAAACATTACGCAAATAATGCTAAAATTTAAAATTTTTTTAACTATAAAAGGAAGCTTAAAAAAGTAATTAAAGTTTACATCCTTCTAAGTTAAACCTAGGTAAAAAATCATACTTTCTGATATTATTTAAAGTTTGAGTCTTGAAAGGTCAAAATTTTTATTTTATGTTGAATTTACAACTCAAAATTGCTATAACTCACAAAAATAAATCAGCAAATGATCGTTAAGCAAGCAATGTTAAAAAAAATCAAGCTAACACCTAACTTCTATTGTTACCAATCAATTGTTCAAAAATTTACAAATCATGATAAATATTTTTATGTCAATTTTTATACCAGTTTTTTTATACATTTTAAAAATGAACAAAATTATTGATAGTGTGATTACTTTTCAATCATTAACAATTTATCTTCAATATGTCACTCTAAATTGTAACAGTTAAATACACACTTTAAAATATTTTCTAAAGATATAAAACAAATTATCATTTTGTAATTTTAGTGAACTAATCATAAAAACGTCAGTTAAACTAACAAAATTTTTTTTTAAAAAAACTGTTACAAAAATTTATTAAAACTCACAATTGCTACCATTTGGCCTTAATTTTTTAGCAAACAATAGATTTATTTTGATAATTTCGCAGTTTGAGGCGAGGCCAAAAGAAGTTTTGGCAAAAACTTCTTTGGGGGCTCCCCTTTGCTTCACTACTTTGGTAATGAAGAAATTGGACTTCATGGAGGTATTTAAATTTTTCACCTTATTATAGATAACAAGAAGATTGACTAGAATCTAAAATTGCTATTAAGTCCCTCCTTCCCCTCCAATGGTCAGACAAAATATTGTTCTCTCCCTTTTATTGATTTTCTGACAATTCTATGTTCATCATGCTGGATTCAATTTTCTGATTGTTAACTTATTCGTCTAGCCGCGAAAAATTCAAATCCTTGCTGACATAAGGGCGGAATTCAGCTAAATTTTCGCAATTACGATGGCTCAATTAAAGTTAATTAAAAGTCTGTATTTTTGAAAACACATTGCATTTTGCAATATGTAAAAAATACAGGTTTTTGATTGGCCCAATTTGTCCATCGCAATCGCGAAAATTTAGCCGAATTCTGAATTAGAAAGCTATGGATTTACGAAATCTAGATTGTGTTCATGTGATAGATTAATGAACAAGCTAATGTAAAACTGACAGATTTTACACTGTATTGATACTTTGTTAATTAAAGAAGGAAACGTAAAATAAACTTTCTATTCGATTTGGGGGCTCCACTCTGATGTGGTGGCACAGGGCAATTGCCCCATATGCCCCTGCCTTAGCCAGGGTCTGAATAGAAATACTCCATCTATATAATAGTATAATCCGTAGAAATCTATTAATTGTATAATAAATAAAATGAATCAAGGGAAAAGTTAGAAAATGTCAAATTAAACAAATCAACAAAATACTCCGTCTATATAATACTCCATCTGTATAATAGTATCATTCGTAGAAATCTATTAATTACATAATAAATAAAATGAATCATGGGAAAAGTTACAAAATGTCAAATTAAACAAATCAAAAAAATACCCCNATCATAATTATAGTAGTATACAATACTTGCAGTGTATACTACTATAATTATGATTTACATAAGTTTTTTTATTTTTGAATGAATTCTAATAATGGAACACTACTAAGTTATTGATATTACCTACTAAGTTTATTGATAAAAAAAAATGGAACACTAATGTTTAAATAAACATTACTACATTTGTCATTAACATGTCTAAATGCATGTGCAGCCCTTCGTTAGCCAACCAGCTGTGCAAGTGGCCCTTCACTCAAAAAGGTTGTGCACCCCTATTCTAAAAAAAGAAAAATTAATACAGTAAATGAGCTGGATTTAAATTGTTGTGTTTGATTTATTAACTATACATGAAGTGATATTTTGTGCATTTGTTAATTACATATTTATTAATTATATATTTAGATTTTTGAAACTTAAAAAAGAAAGGAAGGCAGCATTCAAACTGTTTTTTTCCCCCTTCTTTCACAGAACTTATTTTAAATAAGACCCGAGGATGGATCATATGATGATCATACTGAAATATAGACAGTAACAACCAAACCAAAAAATTATCCAAACAGATTATAAAAAATAATTTATATGTACTAATGGTGAAATTTAATAAAGAAAAAATAAAGCCTCCTTTTTTAAGTCACAGAATTTACATAACATAAGCTAAGATTATAGATCACAGTCACACTTAAAAAAGAAAATTAGGCAGCATTCAAACTCTTTTTAAACTTTTTTTCTTTTCATTCACAGAACATTTTTTAAATAAGACTGGAGGATGGATCATACGTTGATTATACTGAAATATAGAAAACAGGGTTCCCACTCTTTTAACAAAGCAAAAGTTAAGCACTTTTAAGGACCTTTTTTTTAAAAAAAATTAAGGACTTTGTAAACTCAGCTCGGGTTTTTTAAAAAACGTTTTCAGATTGTCAAAAGTTAACGTCATTCAGAATGTAAAAATTAACGAATGAAACTAATAGGTATTCCATTTTTAATGATTTCATAGAAATTGAATTATAAAATTAAATGCATAAATTAAGATTTGAAATTTTTTTTAATGTATATTAAAAAAAAGAGTAAATAAAAAAATTTGGCAAAAACAACAAGTTTTTATATTTTGCTACTAGATCAGCAAATGTGTTATATTTACTTTTATGATGAACAAAATTATTTCCAGCTAAACCTGTTATTAGGAATTAACTTAACATAATGTTACTAATTATTCTCGCGAAACACATGAACTAATTTTAAAGCAACTAAAAATTGAACAAAAATTAAAAGCAGTAAAGTAGGAATGTTAGCTGAATAAAATGAGTATTAAAATCTAAGGACCTTTCAGTTGAAGAGATTTAAATTTGTCTGTAACAATCTGCTTATCTTTAAGAAATAAAAATTATAGTGAAACAATCTAAAACTTTAAAATAATTTTACAATGCAACAAAACAAATAATTACCAAATATTTAACTTTCTTGTTAGTGCTTTCTTATTTAGTACTCGTAGGTAGGCTGGAATTTTTCAAACCCTGGTTCTTACAGATCTGTTTAATTTTCAGCACAATCATGAATTTTAAAAATGTTATGCTTTTTATAAATTTACAGTTACTTATTACGCATTGAAATATTATACGAATTTATTGAATACTTCAAGATTTTAGGAAATAGTTTTCGTTATGGATTCTAGTTAAAAAAAAAATCTTCTGATTCTTCTTTTCTTAGTGTTTTACTTAATTCCTATAAGCAGACAAGTAGAACTGAATTTCTTGAATTCTGTCAATTTTGAAGGTCAGTGTGGGTCTTCTACTTGGGAACTTTAANCGGCAGTGTTTCCCAAAGTGTGGTACGCGTACCCCCAGGGGTACGGGAACAGTTTAGTGGGGGTACGCGTTCTCATGCGAAATATCTAGCAGCAAACGGAAATTTCAAAAAATTTTATTTAAAAATAAAGCTAGCCATGAAAATTAACGATTACATATTTTACTATTGGCTATTTTTTGCAGAGTTAACAGTTAATAATTAGTGGTATCAACAGTCAGTTGTAATTTTTATCTTTCGTGCAATTTTCTTATTGTAAAAAATGCATTCATTTTTTAATTGGTGGTACACAGTGTTACGAAAAATTAAGAAAGGGTACACAAAAGTCATAAGTTTGGGAAACACTGATGTAAGTCAAAAAGAAAAATTCGAAATTGTACATAATATAAACAAGTATATTTAGGGAAGTAAAAAATATGAATATAAATCTTAATCTGAAGGAGATTTTTTTTTAAACCATTATTTATAATTACTTAAACTATTTTATTTTATTACCGTCGTTGAACAGCCAACCCAATTAAGGATTTAAACTACTACTGTTCAAGTTCGTAGCCTTGTAATTTTGAACTCAATGTAGAAGACAAGGGAACTTCTGGATCAAGTATTGGGAGAAACTTGCAGTCGTGGGGGACTTTCTGATGGAACAGACCCACTGTTGTGTTACATGGAGAGGAAAATCACGAAGACTTCCCAAGATTAGCCTGACAGCAAAAAGACTTAAAACCCATGATACCACAGAGGATCTTTTAAGTCAGCACTACAGGATATCTGTTGCATTTTAGATTTTCAAATTCATGAATTTCCATGAATGATTCCAAGAATTTTTCATGACTTAACGAAGTTACTACTTTCTCCCACAAAAACGCAACAATAAATTTAAAAAAGCATTATAATAACGTTAATTGAAATGATAAGTATAACCAAAACTGTTATACTCTGCATCTGCATATTTATAGATTTTAAATTTAAAAAACAGAGAAAAGAAATAGTTGAAACAATAAAATAGCTGAAAAAAATACAAAAGCAAACATTTTTTCTCTCTTTTTTTTTCTGCAAAACTATATTCTAAAGATACTCTTCTTGTTTATCAGAAAGGAAAGAAATACTCCTGATTTTTCTGTTCTCATTTCGGCATAAAAAAAATTCGCCAATGACTGGTTTGCTTCAACTAGAATTTTAAATTGATAAAATTAAAAATAAAAAAAACAATACAATTTTTTAAATCACAGATGTTTAAAAGATAAAATGCTCTAGAAATGTTTTTTTTTTTCATTTTTTGAAAGAACATCATAATTTTTAAAGAACATCCTATTATATTCTAATAAAATATGACTGAGTGATGATTTTGTTAGGACAGGATGAAATTAGGGGGATCCATTTTAAGAATTAGATTTTTCGAAGACCTAAATCCATGACTTTCCATGATTTTTTCTCAAAAATAGTAACAATCATGACATTTCATGACAAATTTTGTTCAATACTGAAATTCATGACTTTCCCTTTCCAGGTGCGGGATACCCTGGCACTATGGTCGCTGCGAGGCGGATACGGAATTCGAATCAACTAGCCATCGCTAAGATTCTAATGAGGTTCACCTCATTGAAAGGCAAACGCTCTATCCCCTGAGCCACCACTAAACATACTGGCAATAGGACCATCTGCTGAGGAATAAGAGAGGTTTTATTTTATCAAAAAAAATTTTTTTTTTATATTCTTCAACAAGTATGGAGAAATTTGAGAAAATAAGGGTAAAAAGGAGATAGCCGTAAAATACACGAGTCTCCGTTAAAAAACAGGAGACTTGGCAGGCATGAGATTGTTTCCATCAAAAATTGAACCTCTTCAACATCCGTGTCGAGAAATTACTTTGAATAATCCATGATGGTGGATCACCCCGGGGTTGAACTGAAGAATAGATAGCAAAGAATACTCCGTATGAAGCAGCATCTTTCCCTGCCTATCATCTTGCGTCTCTTCTGAAGGATCGGAGAGAGTGAGAATCTAAAACAAAATAACAATTAGAATGTTAAATCATGAAAATAAGCTCATTTTGACACGTATTATAGTAAAATAAACAGAATGAAATAGGGAGTGAGAATCTAGAACATAATAGCAAATAAAGTGTTAAATCATAAAATTAAACTCAGTCTGACACTAAATATTTTAGCCGAATAAATAAATAAAATTAAATCAGTCAAAGATTTTATGGAGTGAGTGAGAAACATAAACTAAATGTTAATCATAAAAATAAAATAATTCTGACACAGCTTTTTTAGAAAAATAAATATAAAGAAATAAATTGAATCTAAAACAAAATAAATAACAAAACGTTAAATCATAAAAATAATCTCATTTTGACACGTATTATAGTAAAATAAACAGAATGAAATTGGGAATGAGAATCTAGAACATAATAGCAAATAAAGTGTTAAATCATGAAATTAAATTCAGTCTGACACTAAATATTTTAGCAGAAAAAATAAATAGAATGAAATCAGGCAAAGATTTTATGGAGTGAGTGAGAAACAAAAACTAAATGTTAATCATGAAAATAAAATCATTCTGACAGAGCTTTTTTAGCAAAATAAATATAAAGAAATAAATCGAATCTAAAACAAAATAACAAACAAAAAGTTAAATCATAAAAATAATCTCATTTAGACACATATTATAGTAAAATAAACAGAATGAAATAGGGAATGAGAATCTAGAACATAGTATCCATTTTAACAAAATAAATAAACAGAATGAAATCAGGCAAAGATTTTATGGAGTGAGTGAGAAATAAAAACATAAACTAAATGTTCATCATAAAAATAAAATCATTCTGACACAGCTTTTTTAGCAAAATAAATATGAAGAAATAAATCGAATCTAAAACAAAATAACAAACAAAATGTTAAATCATAAAAATAAGCTCATTTTGACACGTATTATAGTAAAATAAACAGAATGAAATTCGGAATGAGAATAATAGCAAATAAAATGTTAAATCATAAAAAACTCAGTCTGACACTAAATATTTTAGCAGAATAAATAAATAGAATGAAATCAGGCAAAGATTTTACGGAGTGAGTGAGAAACAAAAACATAAACTAAAAGTTAATCATAAAAAGAAAATCATTCTGACACAGCTTTTTTAGCAAATTAAATATAAAGAAATAAATCAAATCTAAAACAAAATGTTAAATCATAAAAATAAGCACATTTTGACAGGTATCATAGTAAAATAAACAGAATGAAATTGGGAATTAGAATCTAGAACATAATAGCAAATAAAGTGTTAAATCATAAAATTAAACTTAGTCTGACAATAAGTATTTTAGCAGAATTAATAAATAGAATGAAATCGGGCAAAGATTTTATGGAGTGAGTTAGAAACAAAAACTAAATGTTAATCATAAAAATAATATCATTCTGACACAGCTTTTTTAGCAAAATAAAAATAAAGAAATAAATCGAAACTAAAACAAAATAACAAAAAAAATGTTAAATCATAAAAATAAGCTCATTTTGAAATGTATCATAGTAAAATAAACAGAATGAAATTGGGAATTAGAATCTAGAACATAATAACAAATAAAATGATAAATCATAAATTTAAACTCAGTCTAACACTAATTATTTTAACAGAATAAAAAAATAGAATGAAATCAGGCAAACATTTTATGGAATGAGTGAGAAACAGAAACATAAACTAAATATTAATCATAAAAATAAAATCATTCTGACACAGCTTTTTTAACAAGTTAAATATAAAGAAATAAATCGAATCTAAAACAATATAAAAAACAAAATGTTAAATCATAAAAATAAGCTCATTTTGAAACGTATCATAGTAAAATAAACAGAATGAAATAAGGAGCGAGAATCTAGAACATTAGAGCAAATAAAGTGTTAAATCATAAAATTAAACTCAGTCTGACACTAATTATTTTAGCAGAAAAAATAAATAGAATGAAATCAGGCAAAGATTTTATGGAGTGAGTGAGAAACAAAAACATAAACTAAATATTAATCACAAGAATTAAATCATTTTGACACAGCTTTCTTAAAAAAATTAATATACAGAAATAAATTGAATCTAAAACAAAATGTTAAATCATAAAAATAAGCTCATTTTGACATGTATCACAGTAAAAAAAAACAGAATGAAATAGAGAGTGAAAATCTAGAACATAATAACATATAAAATGATAAATCATAAATTTAAACTCAGTCTAACACTAATTATTTTAACAGAATAAAAAAATAGAATGAAATCAGGCAAACATTTTATGGAATGAGTGAGAAACAGAGACATAAACTAAATATTAATCATAAAAATAAAATCATTCTGACACAGCTTTTTTAACAAGTTAAATATAAAGAAATAAATCGAATCTAAAACAAAATAACAAACAAAATGTTATATCATAAAAATAATTTCATTTAGACATGCATTATAGTAAAATAAACAGAATGAAATAGGGAATGAGAATCTAGAACAAAATAGCAAATAAGGTGTTAAATCATAAAATTAAACTCAGTCTCACACTAATTATTTTAGCAGAATAAATAAATGTAATGAAATCAGGCACAGATTTTATGGAGTGAGTGAGAAACAAAAACATAAACTAAATATTAATAATAAAAATAAAATCTTTCTGACACAGTTTTTTTAGCAAAATAAATATAAAGAAATAATATGAATCTAAAACAAAATGTTAAATCATAAAAATAAGCCCATTTTGACACGTATCATAGTAAAATAAAAATAATGAAATAGGGAGTGAGAATCTAGAACATAATAGCAAATAAAGTGTTAAATCATAAAATTAAACTCAATCTAGCACTAATTATTTTAGTAAAATAAATAAATGGAATGAAATCAGGCAAGATTCTATAGAGTGAGTGAGAAAAAAAAACATAAACTAAATGTTAATCATAAAAATAAAATCTTCTGACTCAGCTTTCTTAGCAAAATTAATGTATAGAAATAAATCAAATCTAAAACAAAATAACAAACAAAATGTTAAATCATAAATTTAAGCTCATTTTGACACGTATTATAGCTTTGACTTGAATGGCTGATATATATGATTGTGATACCAGCTGATGTTAAATAAACAGAATGAAATAAGGAGTGAGAATCTAGAACATAATAACAAATAAAGTGTTAAATCATAAAATTAAAATCAATCTGACATTAATTATTTTAGTAAAATAAATAAATGGAATGAAATCAGGTAAAGATTTTACAGAGTGAGTAAGAAACTAAAACATAAACTAAATGTTAATCATGAAAATAAAATCATTCTGACACAGTTTTTTTAGCAAAATAAATACAAAGAAATAAATCGAATCTACAAAATAACTAACAAAATGTTAAATCATGAAAATAAACTATTTTGACACGATTATAGTAATATAAACAGAATGAAATAGGGAGTGTGAATCTAGAACATAATAGCAAATAAAGAAATCATAAAATTAAAATCAATCTGACATTAATTATTTTAGTAAAATAAATAAATGGAATGAAATCAGGCAAAGATTTTACAGAGTGAGTAAGAAACTAAAACATAAACTAAATGTTAATCATGAAAATAAAATCATTCTGACACAGTTTTTTTAGCAAAATAAATACAAAGAAATAAATCTAATCTAAAACAAAATAACAAACAAAATGTTAAATCATAAAAATAATCTCATTTAGACACGTATTATATTAAAATAAACAGAATGAAATAGGGAATGAGAATCTAGAACAAAATAGCAAATAAAGTGTTAAATCATAAAATTAAACTCAGTCTCACAGTAATTATTTTAGCAGAATAAATAAATGTAATGAAATCAGGCAAAGATTTTATGAAATGAGTGAGAAACAAAAACATAAATTAAATGTTAATAATAAAATTAAATCATTCTGACACAGCTTTTTTAGCAAAATAAATATAAAGAAATAAATTGAATCTAAAACAAAATATTAAATCATAAAAATAAGCTCATTTTGACATGTATTATAGTAAAATAAACAGAATGAAATAGGGAGTGAGAATCTATAACATAATAGCTATTTTAGCAAAATAAATAAACAGAATGAAATCAGGCAAAGATTTTATGGAGTGAGTGAGAAATAAAAACATAAACTAAATGTTAATCATAAAAATAAAATCATTCTGACTCAGGTTTTTTAGCAAAATAAATATAAAGAAATAAATTGAATCTAAAACAAAATATTAAATCATAAAAATAAGCTCATTTTGACATGTATCATAGTAAAATAATCAGAATGAAATACGAAGTGAGAATCTAGAACATAGTAGCAAATAAAGTGTTAAATAATAAAATTAAACTCAGTCTGACACTGATCATTTTAGCAGAATAAATAAATAGAATTAAATCAGGCAAAGATTTTATGGAGTGAGTGAGAAACATAAACTAAATGTTAATCATAAAAATAAAATCATTCTGACACAGCTTTTTTAGCAAAATAAATATAAAGATATAAATTGAATCTAAAACAGAACAAACAGAACAACAAACAAAATGTTAAATCATAAAAATAAGCTCATTTTGACATGTATCATAGTAAAATAAACAGAATGAAATAGGGAGTGAGAATCTAGAACATAATAGCAAATAAAGTATTAAACCATAAATTTAAACTCAGTCTGATGCTAATTATTTCAGCAGAATAAATAAATAGAATGAAATCAGGCAAAGACTTTATGGAGTGAGTGAGAAACAAAAACATAAACTAAATGTTACTCTATAAATAAAATCATTCTGACACAGCTTTTTTAGCAAAATAAATATAAAGAAATAAATCAAATCTAAAACAAAATAACTAACAAAATGTTAAACCATAAAAATAAGCTCCTTTTGACACATATTATAATAAAATAAACAGAATGAAATATGGAGTAAGAATCTAGAACATAATAGCAAATAAACTGTTATATCATAAAATTAAACTCAGTCTGACACTTATTATTTTAGCAGAATAAATAAATAGAATGAAATCAGGCAAAGATTTTATGGAGTGAGTGAGAAACAAACACATAAACTAAATATTAATCATAAAAATAAAATCATTCGGACACATCTTTTTTCGCAAAATAAATATAAAGAAATAAATCGAATCAAATAGAATCTAAAACATAATCATAAGATTAAGATCATTTTGACACTTGTTAGAGTAAAATAAATCAAATGAAATGGGGAGTGAGAACCTAAAGTATAATAGCAAACAAAATGTTATATCATAACCCCTACTTAAAATAGTCGTACTTTGTTACCATAGTCACCACCACAGGTCCAGACAAATGTCTGGCGTAGTTCTTATTTTAGACTAACTATAATATATAAGTGGGAGATCGCTGAATAGCCTTAATTGGAAGAATAAACTAATATAAAAATAATAGTTTTAAATAACAATTAAATATTATCAGAATTGTCCCATGCTATATCAGACAATTAGATTCTTTTACTGCTTGTTGAAAAGAAATATTTAGATATTTAACTTTACAAAATGACTTTTTAGAGCAAAAATGATCAGAACTGCATATTCTATCAACTACTTTCATTCACAAGAATTTAATATTTAGTTTTCATGGAACATTGATCGAAGTTGCCACTCTCTCAAAAGTAAAAGTTAATAAGAATATTACAATCACTTCAATTAATAAATTAAATGTAACAAGATTATCATAAGACATAAATAAATACAAAAAGTATTGCATAATCATAAGTATTGATTAAGAAACAAAACTACGTTAATGAACAAATGAATACAAAATAAACCTTTAGAGTGTAGAAGTCATCTGTTCCTATCTTCTTAGCTAAACATTGAACAATACTCTTCACAGGAGAATTACCAATACGGGGACCTATTACAAAACAATACTCTAAGAAACATGAAAAATAAAACTAGCATTCACTATAATGGATTAAGCAATGTAAACATTGTTAATTTTTTTTAAAAAAAACATCTTAGCAATTTTCTACTTAAAATGGATTATTTAGTTAAAAAAATAAAGTAATTTGTCGTTATTTTATACAAATTAATTATTAAAACTTGTTAAACTTTTTTTTATACAAATTGCAAATATATCGGAAGGAAGACCAATGTATGTTTAAATAAAATACTTCCAAATCGTTATATCTTCATGTTAAGATGCTAAGCATTTTAAACATTTATATATATATATATACAGGGGTCTGTCCAGACATTTTGTGAAAGGTCCGTTTTTGGTAAAATTGTGAAAAAATTACTCGTAATTTGTGAATATAAAATAAACGTTAAGACACATTCGCTCAACCAGGGTCCGCTTTTGTGAAAATAGGGTCCGTTATTGCAAAAAAACTTTTTCAAGGAGTCTTTAAATTGTAAAGACATACAAGATAATGCTCAACACTGTAAAGTTATAATTAAAAAAATTAAATTTTAAAAAATAAACAGCAAATGCAACTACTAAATTAGCGATTCAACATACAAATATTTGGTATTTAGCCTATACTGCTGAACGCAGAATTTACTGCTGAATGCCGAAGACAAAATTTAGTTCGTTTATATTTGCCTTTATTCCCTCACCCCTACCTCGATTAACAAAACAATAATGAAGATAAACAAATTTGTGAAGGGTCCGATTAAAAGATAAATTATTTTGTGAAGGGTCCGTTTTTAGGTTAAAATTTTTTGTGAAGGGTCCGTTTTAAAGTTAAAATGTTTTGTGAAGGGTCCGTTTTTAAGTTAAAATATTTTGTGAAGGGTCCGTTAACGGATCCAAATTTCTTCTAAACAGACCCCTGATATATATATATATTATACATATATATGTAGACTCTTGCCCCAGGGTGTTTATGAGTTCATTTTTTAATTTGTTCCCATCTGAGATGTTCTTTTAGATTCGTGGCCTGGTAGTCACCTGATCTTGGCAATTGTTTTGTGCAGGTACCGATGAGGAAATCTTTCCTTAAATATAAAAGATTCATTTAAAAAAAAAAAAACATTTTTTTCAAGACATATATTATAGTTAAAATATAGTTCATTCACTGTTATAAGAGGATTGGGCTAAAGAGCATTAACAATGAAAGAGCAAATGAACTGAAATTTTTTTTATTAAACCTTCTTTATCATATTGAAACCTTCTCCTTTGTTAACATTTACTTCCTTGAATGGGATTTATTTCCACATCATGATGATGCACAATTACAAAAGCAACACAACGATTTTAAACTTGCATTTAAAAAAAGAAGAAAAAACATGTAGAGGTTTGCCCAGGGTGACTACGTATTATACCCTTTAATTTTGAACTCCTCTGGGATGCTTTCTTTTTTTAGCTTCTTGCAAACCACTGCTCAGAAGTAGCCAAGACAAATTATTTAGCTGCAAATCCTGATACAGTAAACATCTCCTTGAATGCATTTTTATTGAACTTCTATTTTAACTAATGAACACTTAATATTAGTCTACCTTTAATAATCTTAGAAAGATATAATAGAAAGATATAATGCGACAAAATATTTAATTTAATAATAACTATTTAAATTAAATATTTTGTTTTTGTACAGAATTAATATTATATTCATACAAAAATACCTCAAGCATTTGGTTTCTGAAAGTAAAAACAACCCTAATTGTTCAACAATATATTTGTAACTTTTTTTCCAGATACGTAGAAATTTTAAAAAGAATTTACAATGAAACTCTATTTTTCCGCAATCCTAAACTTTACTCATAAAAATTAAAGTAGCTGAGATATTTAAACATGTTTTGGGGATATTTCCATATAATAAACTGTCACACTAAATGCAATCGCTAAAATGGATTTGAAACTTGCAATTTTTTTTTATATAAAAAAACACACACACACACATGCAGAGGTTTGCCCTGGGGTAGTTAGGAGTTATACCCTTCCATTTGGTCCTGTTCTGTGATTTATTTTTTAATAGTTTCTCGCGGCAATTAGATACTAATATTATTAACTGATTTAATATTTTTTTCACAGAAAAGATAGTAGATGTCAACCTTTCCAAATATCTTTGATGTTCTACTGATTATGTTTTTTTAGAGACCACGTACATTTTAAAAACAGTTCACATGGAGAAATATAACATTATTCATATTAACCTAGTAAATAGTCCCCTGCTCTTTTTACGGTTATGTTACCGTGTGAGCATGAACGAAAACCAGTGTCTCTCCCATTTGTATTGGCATTTTCACAACCTTTAGAAAATTCTTTTCGTTTCATATGAAATAAATCAAAAATTAACTAAAGTAATAAAAATTCTATCAAACGGTATATAGAGAGCATGAATATCAGATTTCAATATTTCACAGGTATTATTGCTTGGTTCTGTCTTTATGGCACAGCTACAGGGCACATCGAGGCATTTATTTACGTTTATTTAGAGTAAACGCTTCTGACTGCAACCTTTATTTGAGTTTTGCTTTTTACCACCTTCCCCTGAAACCGGTCTCTCCCCACCAGATGGCGTATTCGAGCGCTGCGATCGCCAAATGAAACATCCTTGACATCATTTCCTGCTTGAGCTGTATAAAAAGAGGTGTATATTCAGGAACCGTGCAGACTTGGTTCTGTCTCTCCTGATGTGCTGCCTCTCCTCTTCAACTTGCTGCCTGTCCTCTTCAACTATTTTGAAGCCTGAAATTGAAGCAGAATATAACCGAAGCAGAGCATTCAGTCGTCGGAGAGCCATCACACGTGTTGCAAGCATGTCGGAAAAATTGGATTCTGAATCAATGACCTCCTCCTCTGATGATGAGCTAGGCGAAATTGTAGACATGTATCTAGAGGCAGCAGTGTCTCTCCCGCCTCCCACTCCTGACCTCCAAATGGATACTTCGCCCGTGGTGGGATTTCAACCCATCTCTCCACCGAGCCAACCTCCTGCCCCATCACCCGTCCTGAGAAAACCCAAGCGTCGTTCCATGGTCACGGTGGCTCCTGCTCGAAGCAAACTGGCTCGGATTCCCCTGGTATCGGCCCACGGCTATCGGAGACGATTGAAAAGAATGACCACACCAAGACGAGCCAATATTCCCAGACGAGGAACACATGTTTCGTCCAACCATAGCCGTTCCTTTGCCGTTCTCTGCATCCGCTCGGATGGGTTCACCCTCACCAATGGATACCTGTACCACGCTTATGATGGACCCCTGCGCCCTCTTGACCTGTTGAAGCAGTTGTTTAAGATGAAGGTGGGCTATCTCGTGTTGACCGATGCCATCACCCACACCCAGTGGCGAGAGGTGGTGGACAGACTGCCCGAGTTTCATCCCTCTCGAGAAATAGAAGCGGTCCTTTTGAAAAAACCCTCGTCATTGGGGCTGTGTTTGTTTTGCTCTCAAGAGGAATGCCATCGCTGGATCGCAGTATTGGGTGGCATCTCTCAGTTTCTACAGTTGCCGATGTCACCGATCCCCCACAATCGAGTTGTTTCATCTCTTGTCGATACACTTTAAACATGTGTCATTTGTAAACAATCTAAAAAGATTTAAATAGTGAATCATGTGTCAATCATCTAAAATTATGTAAACAGTCTTTGTGGATCACGTGTCCATCATCTGAAATTTTGTAATGTTTTAAAAATAAAAAAATTTTAATGAATCGATTTTGTATTATTTCACAAGAGTGTTATACTTTAAAAGTGTCACGTGGATAGAGTATCCTTTTTAATTTTAAAGTAATAAAGTTTCAATGGGCACAAGAGGCAAAACGTCAATGTTGGCCTCGTGCGTGTCTTACAAAAAAATGGGACATGTCCCCAAATCATAGATATAAAAGCAGAAAGATCAATTACTCGACCAAACGGACGTCACGGTGAATGCTGTTGTTGTTAATTTACGTCGCACTAGAGCTGCACAATGAGCTATTGGCGACGGTCTGGGAAACATCCCGGAGGATGATCCGAAGACATGCCATCACAATTTTGATCTCCTGCGGAGGGGATGGTGAATGTTGACATCACTGGTCTAGTAACTAATTTTTACTCTATGTTCACGCCCTCTAGTGAACTGCGGTGTTTCTTTATTGTGTTATAATTTGTTCTTTTTTTATTTGATTTTTATAAGTTGTAATAATTAATAATAATTGATAACATTCAGTCTCTTTGCCAGAAAAGTCCCGCAGTGGACTGATCGTTAGTGGACTGATCGCAGTGGACTGATCGGTTCCCAGCAGATCACCGAAGTCAAGCATCACTGGCTGCGGTCAGTATGCGGGTGGGTGACCACTTGGATCAGTCTGCGTAGGGACCGAGGGTGTGCGGTATTGGTCCTCGTTAAGCTGTGCTACCGTAAAGTGCTCGACTTCGCGCGCAGGTCGTCGGGCTACCGAAACGGGGGTGCCATCCCCTCCGCAGAGGATCAAAATTGTGATGGCATGTTTTCCGATCATCCTCCGGGATATTTCCCAGACCGTCGCCAATAGCCCATTGTGCAGCGTAAATTAACAACAACAACTTTGCCAGAAAAATCTGATATTCGCAAATTTTATGACACATTTTTTTTCCAGATTTTTTTATAGATCGTAAATTTTGCAAATTCTAAAATTACAAAAAAAAAAAAGAAACTAATATGTTCTTAAAATTTAATTCTTTATATCATTCTGATATTCAAATATTTGGAACAAAATAAAGAACAATTTATGTACTTACAGAATTTAAATAAAATAAAGAACATTTTAGTTCCAAGCTAGTCCAAACATTTAATTTCATATAAAGCACAAAAAATTGGAAAATGATAATAATTGCTGAGATATAATCTCATTATTGCCTATTAGCATTCAATTAGTTTGCTAGTAAAGCGTTTTCTTGGTTTTCATTTGTGTCTAATGGAAATTCTAATTATTTTCATTCAAAATATGATTTTACTCCTCTATTTCAATTACAAGGTACTTTGATATCTGGGTCGAGTTAAAAATATAAGAAAAGTGTTTCACAACATCCACTAAGATGACAAATTGTCTGTCAAGGATGATAAAAAAATTAATGGTTAAAAACATAATTCATTGCGATAATGAACATTTAACTGTAATGTTATTGTTCAGTAATCTAAGACTTTTTCGTGGTTTTCCTTTGCATTTAACGCAACATTCGATTTGTCTAAATTTTAATTTAATTTTAAATAATATATAGGTTACTACAAAAGCTTTTATAAACATGATCTTATTTAAATTGCAAGTTACTTTGATTTCTGGGTCGTGCTAAAAGTTAAAAATATGAGAAAAGTGTTTCACAACATCCACTAAGATGACAAATTGTCTGTCAAGGATGATAAAAATATTAATGGTTAAAAAAATAATTCATTGCAATAATGAACATTTAGCTGCAATGTTATTATTGTTCAGTAATCTAAAAGACTTTTTCGTGGTTTTCCTTTGCATTTAACGCAACATTTGATTTGTCTAAATTTTAATTTAATTTTAAATAATATGTAGGTTACTACAAAAGCTTTTATAAACATGATTTTACTCTGATATTTAAATTGCGAGTTACTTTGATTTCTGAGTCGTGTTAAAAGTTAAAAATATAAGAAAAGTGTTTCACAACATCCACTAAGGTGACAAATTGTCTGTCAAGGATGATAAAAAATTTAATTATTAAAAAAATAATTCATTGTGATAATGAACATTAAGCTGTAATGTTACTATTGTTCAGTAATCTAAGACTTTTTCGTGGTTTTCCTTCGCATTTAACGCAACATTTGATTTGTCTAAATTTTAAATAATATATAGGTTACTACCAAAGCTTTTATAAACATGATTTCATTCAAATTGCAAGTTACTTTGATTTCTGGGTGGTGTTAAAAATATAAGAGAAGTGTTTCACAACATCCACTAAGATGACAAATTGTCTGTCAAGGATGATAAAAAAATTAATGGTTAAAAAAATAATTCATTGCGATAATGATCATTTAGCTGTAATGTTACTATTGTTCAGTAATCTAAGACTTTTTCGTGGTTTTCCTTCGCATTTAACGCAACATTTGATTTGTCTAAATTTTAATTTAATTTTAAATAATATATAGGTTACTACAAAAGCTTTTATAAACATGATTTTTCTCTGATATTTAAATTGCAAGTTACTTTGATTTCTG